TATCACCTGAGTTATGTTCAGAGGAAATGTAAAGAATTGGATAAAACTAGGTGTGGTGGTGTACACCTGCCTGTAATCGAAGCAGCTCTGGAGGCTGAGACAGCAGGATTGCAAGTTCAAGCCAGCCTCAGCAAAAAGCAAGGCACTAAGCAACTAAGTTAGACCCTGTCTCTAAATAAAATACAAAATAGGTCTGGGGATGTCTCTATAAAATGCAGGAAGTTTTTTTTTTAACTGTTTATTTTTTCTATTTTTTAAAATTGGGACATTATAGTTGTACTAATGTTGCTATTAATTGTTACATGTCCATGCATACAATATGACAATATAATTTTGCCAATATCATTCCTCAGTATTTCCCCCTTTCTTTCCCTTGGTTTCTTTCCTCTACTGATCTCCCTTTAGTTTTTATGGGATCCCCTCCCTCATCTTTTTCTTTTTCTTTCTCTCTAGCTTCCACATATGAGAAAAAACATATGACCCTTGACTTTGAGTCTGGCTTATTCAGTTAACATGATTCTCTCCAGTTCCATCCATGTCCTGCAAATGACATAATTTTATTCTTTATGGCTGAATAAAACTCCAGTGTTTGTATACACATATATATACACACCACATTTTCTGTATTGATTCATCCACTGATGGACATCTAGATTGGTTCCATAGTTCAGATCTTGTGAATTGTGCTGCTCTGAACATGGGTATGCATGTATTACTCTGGATATGGTGACTTGAAGTCTTTAGGATAAGTATGAGGAGTAGTATAGTTGGGTCGTATGTTGGTTCCATGTCTAATCTTTTGAGGAACCTGCATGCAGATTTCCATAATGGTTGTACTAATTTACAATACCAACAGTATAAGAGTATTCTTTTTCTAACATCTTGAGGGGTGTGTTTTCCTTTAAGGTGCTCCTCCCTATCCCTTTAGAAGACTTTTCAAGGATGAAAGAATGTAAGTTAATGCTTTTGGTTTGTAAAATTAAGTGATCTGTATTCCTATGACTGAATAAGAGAATACAGGAGAAAGGTTTGAGCAGGTTTGAATAATGAGGACAAGTTGAGTTTGATCTGTGTCAAGAGCATTGATTTGGAAATAACACAGCAGGGTGTTCAATAGAGGAGTTTAGGCAAATATCTGGGCTGGCAATATATATTTGGAAGCCATTAACATAAAGATAGTAATGATGTTTCTTCTTTAAGATGTGAGCTAAACTTTTTGGGAAATCTAAATTTCCAGAAAAGAAATACACATATTTGCAAAAATTTGTGAATAGTTTTAGGAACTTCTAGAATTTCTTGCAAACTATATAGTGTTTCTTAATTTGTAGAATCCTACATGTATGAATAGTAGTTGTAACTTTGATCATGAATGAAAATGCACCAGGGACTCAAGAGTAGTATGAAAAAAGTCATAGAGTTATTGGGCTGAGAATGATTTAAATGGCTCTGGAAAAGTTAGGAGACATAAGGTATGGGGAATAATATTTCTGAAAGAAAGCTACATTAATGACTTATTTTGATTTGTATTTGTCATAGTTGTGCTCTTGATGTGCTTTTGTTTTAACATATTTGTTTATTTGCAAAGCTTGAAAACCTGTCTTTATGTTGTTTGTTGTTTGCTGAGTTTATCTTGAGTTCAAGAGATTGTATCTGTGTGTAAGGGGATTGATTATATTGTGCCCTGGACTAGGCTAGGCTGTTCACTGACATTCTCATTTAATTTCCATGACAGTATTTTGAGATAGAGTTATTAAACACACCTTGCAAGTGAGGAACTCAGACGACTTACAGGAGTTAAATAATTTGCTCAGGGTTACCTGGTTTGTAAGAAACATAATACATTTCCATGCCTGTCTGACAAAACATATATTCTCTAATGTACATACTATGTTTACCCAGATAATCAGTGACTCACACTTTGATAATTAGCATAGTGAAATATGAGTTATTATTTCATATTAGCATAGTGAAATATGAGTCCAGTGGTTTGGATTTGGGGATACTTGAATTTTAGATCTAGCTCTAATTTTGAGTAAGTCATTTAATCTCTTTGGATCTATTTTCTTCTCATTCATTTGAATATATTTTTACCTTAGCAATCACACAGCAGGAACATAAGTTGTCTTCTGGCCCCATTAGTGTTCTATTTGTAAGGCATAAACAGTGCAAAAAATACTACGTAAGTCTTGAATTATAAAGCACCTCTTATAGGTGAAAAATAGTTCTTGTATTATAACATAATTGTATAATTTTGAAGCCTCTTGGCTTATATATTTAAAATTCTTTATTTTCTGATAGAAATTGGTAGAGACATTTAAATACTTTTTCTAGCTAATATTGGATCTTTTCAATAATTTTGAAAAGATTATTTGATGTCTTGCTCAACCTTGGCAATACACATTGTCTCCAGAGTTGATGCTCCACATTTACTTTAGTCTTTCATTGAAATTATATTGAATATTCAGTGTTATATGATGTCACAAGACAATGTTTTTGTTTGCTTTGTTATAACCTCAACATATGCTTCATCAAACTAAAAATACATTGCACACAAAGGAGTTGAGGCCATCATTTTTTACTTGGGCTTGTATCTTTTATGTGTAAAAACTTATTTAGAATATATTACCCATGTAACTTTTTTCCTATGGATGACATTTTAGTATCAAGATATTTGATAAAACTAGAAAGCAGTGTAGGCATAGGGATAGATTCTCTTAAAGTCATTTGATAGATTTGAATAGAATTTGGATAAAAGCAAAGAAAATGGCTCTGTTAAAATATTTCTTTTTTAAACTCTCCAAAAAAGATTGAAGTAAGATTCATTTTGAGTCATCTGCTTAAGGAGCATCTTGATATAGTGTTGAACTTCTATTTTACAGCTAGGCTGACTGAATGATCTGTCTTGCCTACTCTTTCCTTTTTCATACTTACATCCATCATATGTGACTTGGAAAGGATTCCACTAACTAATTTTTATCTAGTTCAGGTCAAAAGTATGTGTGACAGTGACTCATGTTACCTAGGTTGTAAAAATGCAGAACTGGGTAGATTTTTGTGGCATAAAGATGGTTCCTTAATTAAATAATTGTACAAAATCATTAACAACAACAACAAAATCCCTGCCTTCATGGAGCTGACATTTGGCTGAGGGATGAGAAATCAAAGCAAGAAATAAAGAATGTGGGGTTGAATTTAGGGTCAGTAGTTAGGGGAGTCTGTTACTATAAATAGAATGGCCATTTAAAACTCCATTGTTGACAGTTGAGCAGAGATTTTAGCTGTGCAGATAGATACCTGAGGGAAGAACATTATAGACAGAAAGTAGCAAATACAAAGACATTGAAATGAGCTGATTTATGTATTCCAGCTAAGGAGGCTAGTCTGCATGGAGTAGAGTGAGCAATATAGAAAAAGATGAAGTTGAGAGGTTATCAGATCAAAGACTGCAGGGAAGCTGGGGGTGGGGGCTTAGAAGGTTGAGACTTTGAAGATGCCTGCTAGGCTTAGATGCCTCATAGGCATTCAAGTAGTCAGATAAATGACTTGGGTATGCAAGGGAGAGGGCTAAATAGGATATATAACTTCCGAGATTGATTGGAAGTGAGAATAGATGATCAACACTTAGAAACTTAATGTGGACAGACAAGCAGTCTAGAACCAGAGCCTTTTGGTATGGAGATTTGGTGATGAGTAAGCAAGTAAAGAAGACTGACAGCTAGGAACCAGTAAAATAGGAAGCAAGATGAAATTATGGTGCTTGGAAGGTACAAGAAATATCAGTTTCAAGAAGTGGGTCTGTTTAGTGCTGCCAGATTAGTCAAGTAAGAGGAGATCTAAGATGTTAACCATTAGATATAGCAAAGTAGAAATCAGTTGGGAGTACTTTTAAGTGAAATGGTAAAGATGAAAGCTTTATTGGAGTGGGTTCAAGATATAATGGAAAAAATAGGACTTGGGAACAGTAAGGTAGAAATCTCTCTCTCCCTGCCTGTGATTTCACTGTACCTGGTAAGAAATTAGGTGGTACTTGAGTAATAGAGGGATTGTGAGGATTTTTTTTTTTTTTAAGACGTGAAACTGCTGACATGTGAATGTGAATTCTTTGGTAGAGAAAAAAATTGATGGTATTAAAGGTGATTTCCAAAAAAAGGGGTCTTCAAATAGGTGATTTGGGATGGAAGTACTTCATCAGATTTTATTGTATATTATGTATCACCTAGAGTTTTTATTCAAATGTAGGCTCTGTTTTTGTCTGAAATTCTGTGTTTCCAACAAGTTCTTATATGATTTGTGTATTTCTGATTCCTGTAATTGTGAGTGAAAGAACTCAGTACTTTGAGCACAAGAACTAGCAGATTGTATTTGCATAAAGTGTAGTGGATATGGTCAGTTAACGCAGTATCTCTTCAGATTGTTTCTGTTTTCTGAGTGGAACAAGAAATAGTCATTTTAGATTGAGGATATAGGAGGTGATTTAAAAACATCTAGGAGAGTAAAATCAGACTAGAAAAAAGCAGGGTTGTGGTGTTGCAGGAGGGGGGTACACTTGTAGTTTATGGCTAAGAACCTAAATGGAGGTGAATCAGTGTTGGTAGGTGTATGTTATCCTCCATTTATTTTCAAACTACATAGGTTCTTGTCAGGAATAGGTTGGCTGTTGGGATACTCCATGACAAGTGTTTTGGAAGAAAGGGGGGAGAGGGGAGGGTTAAGTGATTTCTGGATATATAAATCATTATGGTTTTATTTAAAGTGGAGAATTCTGCCATAGGTTAAGAATGTAGAGGCATGTCTTAAAGGATTAAAAAAAATTACGTTTTTCAGTTCCAGAGACTTTTTAAAAATGTATTCCTTTATTTCTGTTAAGACAGGTTAACATCCTTGTAAATCATGCAGATTTATAATCATAGTCATATAATAAAATAATTTACTGTATGGACAAATACAGAAGAAAGATTTTCAACCATTGGTTTTTTTTTGTCTCTTCTCTTTCTTGGATATTACAGATGACCATGGATGAAAAATACGTAAACAGCATTTGGGACCTTCTGAAAAATGCAATTCAAGAAATCCAGCGTAAGAATAACAGTGGTCTTAGTTTTGAGGAGCTCTATAGAAATGCATATACAATGGTTTTGCATAAACATGGAGAAAAGCTCTACACTGGACTAAGAGAAGTTGTTACCGAACATCTCATAAATAAGGTATCCGACTTTAAAGGACTGTTGCTAATGCAGTATTGAATGTAGAGAATCTTTTATACCATATTGTACTTTGATCAGAAGTATTCTTTTTAAAGGCTCCATAAAGCCTATAGAAATTTTTAATTCATATATTACAAAAAGCCTCATTCAAAAGTTATAATCAGCTAACTCAGGATTTTTGATAATTGAGAGAAGTTGAAGTTTGTGAACTTTATAAGTATGTTCTCTATAATCGTAATTAATGAAACAAAGACTTAGTAGTTGGAAATATTTATTTACTATTAGAGATAATATTTTTTTCTGAAAATGCTTTAATCACCCCATTTTAGCTTTTTCCTTTTTCCTGAATATTTGAAAATAATAAAATTATATTGTTTAAAAATATTCTCCAAGACTTTTCACTAATTGTAATTAATCTTACATATTTTAATTGAGTTGTGTGGTAAACGGGAATTTTTTAAAAAAATAATGGTGTGCTAACAATATAAAATGGTTCTGTGATTCCAAAAAGCTATATATGTTTTAGAACAAGTGTTTTAACAGAAACACTGCAAATAAAATGTAATCTTCTTTGTGAAATAACTTCACCACAATGTTTTGCTTTAAGATTTTTCAACAAAACATAAAATTATCACAGATTCATAAAACACTTTCCATATTTTTTTTGTATAGCACGAAGGTATTCATTTTTAAAATTTTACTTTGGGAAAAAAAGGCATAAAAATTTCATAAACGTGGTACAATGAATTCCTGTGTACCCTTTACCAGTTGTTAGCATTTTGTAAATCTTTCTATTGATACTTGTTATTTACTGCTATTATTATCAATATTTTTATTACTGAACAATTAGAAAATAGATTTTAGATTTTATTTACCGTAAAATACCTAGTAATGTTTCTTCCAAGAATGAGGAAATTCTCTTACGTAACCAAAGAACTTTGATCAAAATTAGGCAGTTTAACATCAACAAAATATGTTATACAGTTCATACTGATATATCACCAATTGTCCTGTCCTGTGTACAAGTGATGTCCTCTAAATAATTTGTTTTATGATCGAAGATCCAATCTAGGATCATATATTCAAGTTCCTCACCCTGTACTTATCTTTTGACACAATGACGTTTTTGAAGAGTATAGGTCAGTTGTTTTTTAGACTTCCCCACAGTTTTTGATTTTTCTGATTGTTTCCTCATGACTAGTTTCAGGTTATGCATTTTTGGCAGGAATAATACATAAGTGATGTTGTGTCCTCAGTTCATCACTTCAGGAGGCACATGATGTCAGTTTAACCCATTATTGGTGATGTTAACTTTGATCCCTTGGTGTCCGCCAGATTTCTCCACTGTGAAGGTACCATTTTTTTCCCTTTGTAATTCATAAGTAATCTGTTCAGTTATATTTTGAGACTGTGTAAATATCTGTTTCACCAGAAACATCCATATGATGGTTTTTGCATTCATTCATGATTCTTGAGTGAATCATTAATTACTATGGTGGTGGCAAATTAGCACCTTTCTATTTCTGTTCTTCCTTTTATACTTACTTTGAAGAAGATTACATGAGTGAGGTAGTTTATTATTTCATGAAGGTGATCGTGTTCTTCATACAGCCAACAGTTTTTGTTAGGTTCCTCCTATGCACAGCTTACAATGAAGATATAGTAAATGTGAAGAGACATAATATTGTCCCTTTTAGGGGTTGTTTTTACTCTGATGTCAGAAATGAAATATATTTAAATAACAGTATGAAGCCCTAGATAATTGAGTGGCAAGTGAGTGATAAATAGCTTAGGAACGCAAATGAAGAAGAGATTATCCTGGACTATAAGATTTCATGGGAAGGGGTGAAATTTAACTGAGACTTTAAAAAATCAGAGATACATATGAAAATGTGGAATGCACTGCAGGGTGGCAAAATAGCATGTGATTATAAAGAGTTGATCTGATTACATTTAGGTGGCAAGTGAAATTTGATTGAGATTTATAATAGTTTTGGGAATTAGTTTAATTACAGTGTTTGAAAGTTTATATAGGAACTGATTATAGAAAAATTTGAATGTGAGACTAAGGGATTTGGACCAAACAGTTCGGAGTTTAGGTAGTTTTAAAAATGGGTGATAAGGTGATAAACTGTTTGAAGGTTAGTATAAGAAAGATGTAAATGTAGAATTTCGAGGACTTTCACTAGAATCAGGAGATGACCTGGAAAAGTCTGGGTAAAATCATAGACTGGAAATTAATGTATTTCCTAGGCCAGAAATTTTTAAGTAAGATTAGGCATAATTTGCTTATTGGGAGGACTTATGGTGCCACAAATAGGAATGTTATGAAGTTATAGTGGAAATCTGACTTGGAATGAGGAAAGGGTAGGTTTTGTTTTAGATTAAATTGACAATTTTTATAGTTGGTAAGTACCTTAAGAATCAGTGTGAGGTCATAAATTGCTCAAGTAAAAAAATGTATATTTGTAGATATTTTTAGAACTAAGGCAAGAACTTAAAACTAGATAAGGGGATTTGGCATTTGATAGCATATTACTGGTGAGTAAGTGTTAGATTTAGAGAATGAAGAGCCAAGGGATAAATGTTCAGTAGCAAACTATAGTTAAGTCATTATGGGTAAAAAAAGAAGATTAATCTAAGAAGTTTGGCATCAAAACAAAGAAGGAAAGGAGAGTGGAAGACTTGTTTAGTAAAACTACTGAAGGGTGGAAGATTGGAGTGTTTGATATGGTTAAGAGTATGAGATTAAGAATAAAGAAGTAGCATGGTAGCACCTACCTGTAATCCCAGCCACTAGGCAGGCTGAATCAGAAGGATCACAAGTTTGAATCCAGCTAGGGCAACTTAGCCAGACAATGTCTCAAAATAAAAAGGGTTGGGTATATAGCTTAGGGATAGAGTGTTTGCCAGGTATACCCTGCATTCAACCCCCAGTAATGACATGTGGATAAATAAAAAGAATAATGGAAAATCAAATTACAGGCATGCTCACATTTGCCAGAAATTCTATACAGAATGTTACTAACATTTACTGTATGTTAATCTCAATTCTAGTGCTATTATGTTTATTAATTTAACTGATGGCCTCAAGCCAATGGATCAGATAATATCTGTTCTACAAAGGAAGAAACTGAGGCACAGAGAATTGATAATTTGCTCATATACATGTAGTGAGTAATCAGTCTAGCTGGAACTGAATTCAGGCAGTCTGGCTTCAGGCTGACCCCTTAACTTCTCTGTAGATCTGCTTTTGAGGCAGAATGGATTGATCAGAATGCACTAAATATGCTAAAATTGAGGTGATTAAGAAGCTTCAAATTAGTTGAGTCACTTCATACAGCTACAGTTCTTTCAGTTATAAATTCCACTTATGTAAAAGGAGGGAGTTGGATGTAATATCTGAAATTCTTTATTTTTAAAACCATTATGAATCTAGTAATCAAACCATCCATCTTCTGAAAATGAGATGAAGAAACGTGGAGTAGCTCTTGTACGGTATATACTAAGGAATTGACAAGTGAAGAAAATGATGGTTTAGTAGGGGTTGATCTGAATGTGATTTTTTTTTTTTTAAGCAGTGTTTTGTAGCTTGGGCATAGATGCAGGAAAAGCATCTTTATACTCATGTGTTGTGGTTGAAAATCGGCTCTTAGAAAAGTGAGGAGCAGAGGGGAGGCCATAATGTGAAGTCAAGTGTTTTAAGTGAATGATTTTTGGACTCTAAAACATGGTCAGATGGTAAAAACTCTACTTTCATTGAGGATTAGAACTTCCACATATGAATTCAAGGGTGATATAAATGTTCAGTCCACAGCAACTGTTGTTTCAAAATATATAGCTGTTTCTTCTAGTACATTTCCTAAATGTGTATTCAAGTTGATTATACTAAATAAATGAAAAAGCATATATGCTGAATGAATTTTTTTCTCTTATGCATGATCATTAATAATATGTCTTTATTTTTTTTTCCTTTTTTTCCCACAAAAACCATTGGACCAGTTTTTGTCTAGGAAATGTATCAATTTCAGCATATCTGATTGTTGATAGACGTATGGTAATTAAGTTCTTGAAACTTCTGCCTGTATCCATACTTTCATTTTTATTTTTTTTTGAGGGAGGCGTACTGAGACTTGAACCCAGGGGCACTTAACCACTGAGCCTCATTCCCAGCCCTTTTTTGTATTTTATTTAGAGACAGGGTCTCACTGAATTTCTTTGGACCTCTCTAAGTGTGGAGATTAGTTTTGAACTTGTGATCCTCCTGCCTCAGCTCCCAAGCCACTGGGATTACAGACATGTGCCACCACACCCAGCTTCTTTTCCATTTTTCTTACTTCACCTTATTTTATGAAAAACTTGTAATAGCCATACAAATATAGTTCTGGTACCAAAAGAGAACTGTTAACTGATAGGGCCAATATAAAGTAGCTCTAAATGTTTGCCTCCTATTATAGAAAATGTCAGTGTTTTACTAAATAAACTTATGGATGCCAAGTATAATATAATGAGCAAAAATATAGTTTGCGTGAACATCCATATTACCTCCTGCATTTCCCATTTTGATTTGAAGGTAAGGGAATGGCTTAGGGTTCTGTGGTATAAGTTACCTATCTTTAATGTCATAGTAGGTACCCATTTTTGTGGTTCTGCATTACTGTTTTGTCACTTTTTTGTTCATTATGTTTTTAGCAATTAGCTGAGCTACTTTTTTTATGTGAACATTTAAAATTTTTTCCTAATTAGTTATACATGTTACCAGGATGCATTTTGTTTCATTGTACACAAATGGAGCACAACTTTTCATTCCTCTGGTTGTACATGATGTAGAGTTGTACCATTTGTACAGTCATACATGTACCTAGCTAGGGTATCCATCTCATTCTACCATCTTTCTTACCCCATACCCTTCCCCCTGCCCTTTGCCTAATCCAAAGTGTCTCCATTCTTCCCATGTCCCCTCCCCCCATTATGGATCAGCATCTGTTTACCATACCATT